GGCGGAGGCAGCACATGTGGCCCACGTTGCTATGTGCTGGGGAACATGAGGGCACCGCATGCAGCGCTGACTGCAGGTAGGTCGCCAGCAATCTCACCAGCAACCCCCTGACTGCTCCTGACCCCCGGTCCTCCTCACACCGCTGCAGGCGCTGTATGGCGCGTTCATGCGGGCTGACGCTGAGTGCAAGCGCCGCTTCCGGAAGAGCGGCACCACCGCCACGCTGGCCGTGGCCTGCGGCTGGGAGCTTGTTGTGGCGTCTGTGGGGGACAGCTGCGCCTACCTGGACACGGGCCGTGAGATCCTGCTCGTGTCGGCCAACCACCGCATCGACGAAAACGCGGACGAGCGCGCGCGCATCCTTGCGGCAGGCGGTGAGGGGCGGGGCACACCTGCTGTGCGGGTTGAGTGGGGTCAAGCCTGAGTGTCAAGTAGGCATGGACTGTGCCAGGCTTGGCAGGCACCGTTCGAAGCAGCTGCGGGGTTCCCATGTCCCCGTCGCTGTCAAAAGCGGTGCCAGAGCAATTCCTAGGAGGGTAATATTAGTCCAGCCGCTACCATTGGCTGTGCTCGTCCGACCCTCCCACACCTCTGCTAGTGCCTGGCAGGTTGTTTTCGCGTCCCTCCTTGCTTTCCGAGCATTGAGTGTTGCATTGCGTGTGCAGTGGAACGTGGACACCCCCTCCCCCCCCTGCGCCCGGCCGTAAACCCGCCCATCACACTCCAATCCCACCCGGCCCCCCCTTCCTGTCGCCACCCTTGATGCAATCGCACCCCCCTCCCTCACGCCGCATGCTCTCCAGGGGAGATCGCGCCGTCCAGCGTGGAGGGCGTCCCCGCGGGCCCCCAGCGCGTGTGGCCGGGCGGCCTGGCCATGAGCCGCAGCATCGGCGACCGCGAGGCCGGGGACCTGGTGCCCGCGGCCCCAGAGGTCCGCCAGATCACGCTGCCCACCAGCGGCGCGCGCCTCGTCATCGCCAGCGACGGCGTGTGGGACCAGGGTCTCAGCGCCAAGAGCGTCGTCGGCGCCGTGCGGCGCGACAACGCGGCGGCGGCGGCGCACAAGATTGCCATGAGCGCGCTCAAGCGCAAGGGCCTGCGCGATGACATCACTGTGATCGTCGTGGACTTCCTGCCGGCAGGCAGCGCGCCGGACGCAAAGTGGGCGCCCGGCGGCGGCGCGTCGTCGGAGGTGCGCGTGCAGCACTACCGGCCGCTGGAGACAGCCTCCACCAGCTGGCGGGGCCACCTCGCCGCGCGGCGCGCGGAGGCCGTCGAGCTCGTGCGCGCTGCACAGCGTGCGGCGCAGAGCGACGAGGCGCACCCGCAGGCGTCGCCCGAGGGCACAGAGGCAACCGCCGCCGCTGCTGACGGCGCTGCAGACTCGGCGGCGGCCGACGCCGGCGGCGCTGGTTCTTACCACGACCTCGCGTGCCTGGTGGTGGACGTGTCTGACCCGGCCGCGCTGCTGTCAGAGGTGCAACGCCAGGACAGGGAGGAGGAGGAGGAGCGCCAGCGGCAGGCCGCGGCCGCCGCGGCCGACGAGTGGACCGAGGTGGGGGCCGGCAAGTCGCGCGTCAACGTGGAGGCCGAGCTGCGCGCGGCCGCCAAGCGCGGCGGCGGCAGGGGCGCGCGGGGCCGCGGCTCAGCGGCCGGCGCTCGCCCCTCCGGCCGGTTTGGGGGCCGCGGTGGGCGCGGCCCGCGGCGCGACGAGGACGGCGCTGCTGCCAGCTCCTCTGCTGGAGCGGAGCCTGAGCAGCAGCAGGAGGGACTGGCGGCGGCACCCGAGCAGCAGCAGGGTGTACCGCTCAGCGCGGCGGTGTCGCCCGACGGCGCGCAGCAACCGCACCCCCAGAGTTACGAATGGCGCGGTCGCGGGCGCGGGCGAGGGAGGGGTGGTCGGTCCGGCCGGGGCAGGGGCCGCTATGACGAGCAGCACGCTGACCTACGCCAGGGGCAGCATGCAGCGGGCAACAGCCCAGAGCAACACACGCAGCAGCAGGAGCAACCGCGAGAGCCGCAGCAGCCGCAGCAGGAGCAGCAGCAGCGACAGCAGCAGGAACAGCAGCAAGAACAGCAGCAGCAGCCGCAAGTATCTTCAGGCGATGCGATACCAGCTGGCGAACAGCAACGAGGCTCTAGCCGCGGCAGGGGCCAAGGTCGCGGCAGGTTTGAGGGTGGCGGCAGGTTTGACGGCGGCAGGGGCCGTTTTGGGGGTGGCGGCCGCTTCGGTGGACCTCGCGCATACGTGGCAGTGGACTCTGCCGGCAGCGGCCAGCGGCACACTGAGCAGGGCCAGGGTGGCGGCGCCGGCGCGCGGCCCCCGCTGCAGCCCAACAGTGGGGCTGGTGCGCCCCAGGCTGGCGAGGAGAGCGGCGCGCAGCACGGGGCGTACAGGGGGAGGGGCCGCGGCATAATGGGCCGCGGACGCGGACGCAGCAGCAGCTTCCGGCCCGGCAGCGATGAGCACGCGCAGTCCCTGCCGGCTGGGGCCGAGGGGGGCCCTGCCAACGGCAACTCAGCATCTGACATCCCTGTGGCCGCAAACGGTGGAGGGGCTGTGCCCGCGAGTGAGCCCGGCGCCGGCGCCGGCGGGCGCAGCCAACGCGGTTTAGGCCGCGGTCGGGGCGCTTCCGGCAGGGGCGAAGGTCACGGCAGTGGCCCGAAGTGCTTTCAATGTTCCCAGCACGGCCACTTTGCACGCGACTGCCCAAGCAAGCAGTGAAGCCACCGATTTGAACGGGATGGGTGGCGAGGCCGCCTGATCCTTGTACGACTCTCAGCATCAGGCACCCTGGTGCCGCATGTAGGCCAACGCGGGATGTGCAGCAGCAGCAGGCACTTGCGTGAAGATTGTTGGCGTGTCACAGGAGTATCAACGGCTTGGCCGCTCAGTAGCGGTGCCTGCTTTGTTTTGAACAGCGCGCGTGGAGGCAGGTGACTCAACATCACCACATCACACGATCACCCCGGCTGTGATCAGTGCCTTTCCCACCAATCAACCTTCCATGGACCCAGCAGCGTCCCAGAGGGCGCTTTGGCTTGTGGTCGAATCTGTCGTGGTGTCCCTGTATGTCTGCGCTACATGGTATTTGTTTGCATTGCTTTTGTGGTAATCTCATGTGTAATGTTCGCCCCGGAGGCTTTAAGCGCACCCCAGGGCCTTCTGACAATATGCACAGGTGGCTGACAGGCTACAAGCAGATAGATGCGCACTGCTGCCTTAGGCAGGCTGGTACGCATCATGCCTGCACAGGATCCACAACAGCATCCCTCAACTCTTCATTTGTTACTCTTGCAAGCATCACAACGGTGCCCGCGCCACTGCAGCCACCACTTCCTCCACCGAATTCCCCCCGCTGCCGCTGTCCTCACGCGGCTGCGTGTGTCCCTGCTGCTGCTGTTGCTGCTGCTGCCACGGCTGGCCGGTGGCGGCGCCCGCAACCCTGCCGCCGCCGCCGCCGCCGCCGCCGCCGCCGCCGCCGCCGCCACCGCCACCGCCGCCGCGACCGCCGCCTCCGCCGCCGCT